TGAAAGTTTTCAGCATTTGAAATGTTCTTTTCCATAGCTATACATTCTGGCTCATGCTTATGGTCCCAGGATGCAGGAGACTGAGGCAGAAGGATTATCATTTCAAGACCATCCTAGGATGTATAACAAGGCCCTGTTTCAAAACAAAACAGAAACCACTCCCCTCCCCTCTCTGAGATTGACACCTCTCTTTCCTTCTTCCTGTATTCTGATTTAGTTGTCCTGTAGTTGACATTATTTTCTTCATGGAGAAAAATCAACCTCAGTAAGGCAATCCTAGGAACAATAGGATGTGAGATGTGGACAATTTGAAGAGACATTTAAAGCACAGTATCCGGACACCTAAGATAAAGCATAAGAGTACTGGGCAGTGGTGATGCATGCCTTTAGTCCCAGCACTTGGGAGTCAGAGGTAGACAGATTTCTGAGTTCAAGGCCAGCCTGATCTAGACAGCAAGTTCCAGGATAGGACTACACAGAGAAACCTTGTCTTGAAAAACAAAACCAAACAAAAAACAAAAACAAACAACAGTATATGGACATCTGAGATTGGGACACCAATTACTTTACTCCTGACTTTCATAGAAACCTGAATTTTATAAGTTCTGGTGTGATTGATTTAGTGTAGGATCCTGATAAGTGTGAGCTCTCAAAATACTCCCTGCTAGATGAACTTCATACCAGCAGTGAACTAGAGATAACTAATGTCTCATTGAGGTCAGTTTATGACTTTTCTAGGCATTTTTCTTAGTTATCTGTTTCATTACATTTGTCAGTGTGGTAGGTAGATAAGACCATGTCTTGGGTTGCTTCCATCCTTGATGATCTCTCTGTATTAGATTAGTCACTGCCTCTCACCCCTAATGAAGTGTTAATCTAATTAGTCCTTAACAATAAAAATACCTGGAGTTGCCGGGCGGTGGTGGTGCACGCCTTTAATCCCAGCACTCGGGAGGCAGAGCCAGGCGGATCTCTGTGAGTTCGAGGCCAGCCTGGGCTACCAAGTGAGTCCCAGGAAAGGCGCAAAGCTACACAGAGAAACCCTGTCTCGAAAAGCCAAAAAAAAAAAAAAAAAAAAACAAAAAACAAAAACAAAAAAAACAAAACCTGGAGTCAAATATTGGGGTAAGAACCTGAAAGATCAGAAAAGGAGGGAGCAGCCGCCAGTCGCTTCCCACCTCTACCATTCCTCAGTCCCAAAGGGGCCCCGAGATCCTCTCTCAGCCCCGCCTTACTACTTCCTGTCGCCTCTTTGTCTACAGTCCTCCAAACCTCTATGGTTAATTTTAGTCAGCTAGTGGCTAACTCTGCTCTCTGACTCCAAACAAGCTTTTATTTGTCAGAACACAATCAAAATATCATACAACACCCTAACACTTTGCTACCACCTTGCCATATTCTCAAAGAGGAGAATGACAACCCCTTGGAATCTTTTGTAATTAAAAGGAAAGACAAAATACAGTCTGAATAAGCTACAGTCTAGTTTTGCTAGCTGGAAAACATTGGGCTTTGTGCTTTTCCTTTACTGTGGGTATAGCACAATTAAGATAACCTTTGTGTTTCTGACTGTGTGTCTTATATCTTTTGGACCTTAAGTGTGTCAGATCCTAGATGATTTATGTGTTCTTGATTCTAAGTGGATTGTAGTATTAAAAAAAAAGGATCTGTAATGGCTAGAATGGAAGGCAGGTGGGTATAAAAAGAAAAGAAAAAAAAGGATCATCAAGATTGTTTTTCTTTTCTTTTTAAATATATTTATTTATTTTTATGTGTATGGGTATTTTTTCCTGCATGTATGTCTATGTACCACATGCATGCTTGGAAGAGGGTGTCAGATCCCCTAGGACTGGAATTGTAGACAATTGTGAGCCATGTGGGTGCTTGGAATTGAATCCTTGTTTTCTAGAAGAACAGCTAGTGCTCTTACCAATGAACCATCTCTGCAACCCCCAGATTGTTTCTTCTGTGCTTTCAAATAAAATTGGTCAATGTCATGGGGAAAGATGGTGTTTAGATCTTTTCCAGCTAATAGTCTCATAATATTCAAAGATGAGAATAAAAATCTAAGGAAAAAACCCACAATGAGTTAGGCTTGGAAGCACACACCCTATAACTACAGCACTTGGGAGGCAGAGGCAGGTAGATCTCTATAATTCAAGATCAGCGTGGTCTACTGTTCCAGGCTGCCAAGGGCTACATAGTAAGACCCTGTCTCAAAACAAGAACTACAAATGGGTTTTATGTTAGTTACTTCTTTCATCACTGGGATATATAAAACACCTGTTTAGTCCATCATGGCCAGGAAAGCACAGAGTTCATGGCAGCTGGAGATCGTGGTAGAGGCTCCTCTATCTTGATAGATCAGGAAGCAGAAAGCAGAACTGGAAATGGCTGGGTGTAACCCTCGAGGCCTTCTTTAGTGGCTTGTGCCCCCAAATTTCCACAGCTTCCCAAACACCACCAGCAGCTAGGGACTAAATGTGCAACTATCTGAGCCTGTGAGGGATGTTTCGGATCCAAGCCACAGCAGGCTTGATTTCCTTTAGTCTGAGGATCACCAATAGCTACCTCTTCTCTGTGCTTTTTACTGAATATTTGGTAAAACTATTACTTTTTTAATGTTTTTTCTTCTCAGCATATGCTAACCAGTTTGATAAAGAATTGTGTCTTTCCAGCTTGGGTTGCAAACCTGGCCAGAGGGAGTGGTTTGGGGAAGGGAGGGTTAGCCTATTAGGAAGTCATAAACCACATCAACATTAGGGCAAATGAGATGTTTCGTAGAGCCCTTCCATGGATTTGTATTTGGCTTTCCTTTCCTCCCTTAGAAAGGAATTATCATTCTGCTCACATTCTGACTCTCATTTTATAGAGAAGTCAGCTCTAAAGTCATTTTTTAACATAAGAATCTTGTCTGAATCCTAATAATTCTCAACTATGGTATTTTCAACTCTGGCTGAATGTACATTAGAGTGAACTAGAAGAACTACTTCAAATGCCCAGATGACACCTCAGAAAAGCAATCATTGTCTCTGAGGATGAGATTGGCAGTAGCAGCTAAAAGCTTGTGTGCACACACAGATGGTTGATTTGTTTTGTATGTAAGGTTGAAAGTAGTCATGGTTACTGCTGTATAACTAAAGTAGTTATTAATACTGTTTAAAAGTTTGAATGTTAGTCTCTGAAAACACCAGATTTTTGTTAACAGGAAAATTAAAAGATGTTTGCAAGTTATATTGCCTTTGCAAGCTTTTTTGGTTCAACTTTTAAAAGCAAAACATGTATCTGCCCTGTGTTTTCAGCCTTTGTGGATGCTGTTGAGAAACGACCCATCCCCCCCCCTTTTTTTTAAATTCTGCTTTACCATGCCTTTGAATCTTCACTTCAAAGAAGGTTCAAAGAAGGCATAGGGAGGTTTTTCCTCCAGAATTTCCTTTTCTATTGAGTTATCTGTACAGGTTTGCACTGTTCTCTATCTTTGCCAGTCTGTAAAGCCTGCCCTGATTAATCTGTGGTCCTTTCAGTGCTTGGCATCTTTTCATGCCTTGCGTGCAGTAAATGTTACATATGTTGTTGGTCTGAATAAAAAGAATGCATGCTTTTCAGATGTTATGCTGCAGATATGTGTCATTCTAGAACCAGGGAGAGGAGATGTGCAATGTATCTATTTTCTGTTGGCTTTGGCACCTTTCCAGTTACTTAAGTTGTTGGCTGCAATGACCTTTTTATTTGGTTAAGTATCTGGCTTCATTCAATGGCCTCATTAAGTGGTCGGTGAGAACCACATTCTAGAAATGTTGGCTTGGCTAAAGCACCTGCTAGGATTATTTTCCATTTTAAATGAAACAAAATTTGTCATAGGCCTCACTATTTTTGAGTAGAGATTGAATTTTAGGTTTTGACAACGTCATTTTATATACTACTCTCAGTTCATAAGTCATCATTCCCAAGTAATAAAGATGCAGTCTAATTTAGTCTCTACTACCACCCCAGCACAATGATTTCTAAATTATTACCACTAAACAAGAACTATTGCAGCACTTTTGGACTTCACAGAGGGTTGTAGATATGATGAGAGCTAGAAAGAAAGCAAACACAGGACCACAAACATCACCCCACAAAGGAGGTTCAGCTTTGTAAATAGTTCCATGAGTGTGTGTATGTGAGTGTGTGGGTGTGAGTGTGTGGGTATGTATGACCAGCTAAACAGCTCCAGTTTTTCTTCATTGGTCTTGTCATGGAAGACAAGACTGCCTTCAGGGTGAATTGTATACGTTATAGAGCCCTGAGGGGAAAGAAGTAAGACCAAGAGCCTGTGGAATTGTTTGCCTGTCAGCTAACCAATTAGTCTAATTCTCTACTTTGCCTCCTTTAAAAGACAGATTCCATATAAATCACAGCATCTCTCCTTAGAGGTACCGACTGTGGGAGGTTTGGGGCGATGCATGCCTATCTTTCTGTACTAGCTGTTTTTCCCCCAAGGAGCATTCTCAACTGAAAGCCTTTTATGTTCCACTGGTAATTTTTGAAGCTTGAAATTGCAACTCAATGCTGGTTTGGTTCCTATCATCTCAGTAAGGCAGCAGGTTTTGTAGGTTGAAGCAGTTTTGGTCTTCCTTTGCTTTCCTCCTCCGCCTTAAATTTCTTTGTAAAGGAACAGTAATGCTGCCTAGGCTTAGAGCTCTTCAGAGTATACAAACACTAAATCTTGTTTGGATTCATGCCAATGAATTGGGGTAGAAAATTGGATGTGAAACATCCCTCCAATATCCCAGCTCCATTTTCCAAGTTTTGGCTAAACTGTCCACCCTTTCGCTACCCTCACTTGGTTCCCCTGGAACATGTTTCTTGGCGATCTAGAATTCCTTAGGCTTTGGGAGACAAGTCAAATGGCATGTATTTCCAATGACTTGGTAGAACAATTTACAGAATCTATATGGGCATCTAGTACTTAGCTAAATGAACTCTACCTCTCTCTCCTCTCTCTCCTTTCTCTCTTTCAGCTTGGCAGTGACCTTGGCGGGGGCATTGGAGGAAGTCCGGCAGTAAGTGCCATCTGTTTTGTTCACCATGGGAAGCTCTGCCCTGTTTGATGCTTTCCTTCTCACGTTATCGGAGCAGCCACCACTGCTCTCCAGCACTGCACAAGCTCAGCAGCAGTGCGTGAGGGTAGAGAGTGCAGGGTTACTTGCAATTTGGGTCACATACCACATGTGTTCTAGGGACTTCTTTAGGGATTGATGCTGTGGTGCCTGTAGAGATCTCTGTGTTTCTGCCATTAAAGAGCTAAAGGAAATGGAACCTCCCATCTTGACTGCTTTTATGCCCTGGTGTCCAGAAGGAACTTGAATTTTCTGGATTCATAGAGGGCATTTTCCTCATAGATGAGTTCCTATGGGGTGTGAATATCATCTCCCTCAGGAGAGCTTTCTGCTAGATATTAACACCCACATGGGAAATAAGACTTGGCCCAACCCAAGTGGAAATGGAACTGCTGTTTAAGTTGGAGGCTTTTCCCTCGTTCTGTAGACACAAACTCCTCTTTTGTTAGGGTACCTGTAGGCCTTTTGCACAGAATCATGGAAGCTAAAATTGGAAACAAACAAGACAAAATCTTGGATCACTGTGTTCTTGCATCCTACCTAGTACTGTGCCTTGACAAAGCTTCTAAAGCATGTTTATATTTATCATTGGTGAAAACAAAGTAATTGAAACAGTATGCTGATTGGATTCTTACAAATACTGTAACTGCAGTATTCACTAATTGATTTCCCAGTGCTCTTAAATAAGTAACATTTTAAGGACAATTAATCTATTCTTTCTCATCTCTTTCCCTTTTTTCCCCAAAGGTAGGACAGTCCTTCATCCCATCATCGGTGCCCGCAACCTTCGCTCCTTCACCTACTCCTGCTGTGGTCAGCAGCGGTTTGAACGACCTGTTTGAGCTTTCCACGGGGATAGGCATGGCGCCTGGCGGATATGTGGCTCCTAAGGCGGTAAGTAGTTAGAGTGAGCAACACTTTCTCAGTGCACAAACCCTCGATTACTTCTAACAAGTGTTACTTTCACTAACACAGGGGTGTAGCTCTTGTTCTGGAGGATCTATGAGGAACTTAACCATAGGAAACACCATCAGACTTAAAATTGGAAATACTAAATACTTGAGTTTGGGCCTCGTGTTTAGAGACATCTAATTTGTCAGCATTAAGGTATATCTGGTAAAAACCTGGTACATCACTTTACAGTCTATCAGCAAGATACACACACAGTAGAGAAAAGTGGGGTTTTTGTTTTTGTTTTTTTTAAACTTCTTCTTTGCATTTCCCTTCCTCACTGGTACTATGTATGGATTCTAGGGTACAATTCCTCAAATTTTATTTTCATAGGTTTTAGTATACCTCTTTTCTTTTGTATCCCAAGCTCAAACTCATGGCCTTTTGCATCAGCCTCCTAGGTGCTAGAATTAAAGCAGTGTGCCACTGTTCTATACAGAGAATGATCTATGATATAGCCATGCTTGTAGTAAGTGAATGAATTTATTAATAAGTATGTAGCAGGCAAAAGTGAAAGAACAGATAGACCGCAGAGCATCATCCCATCAGGCACTTACAGTGGAGACGACAGCCGGGGTAGCACAATTGGGAGAACCAGCAAAAGAACATCATCAAACCAAGTGCTCACAACTGCAGAACTGACTGAAGTAGTGAGGCTGGAGTTCGTGACAGGAATCTCCAGGCAAGCCGAGTGTTTTCTCTAGATGAGTTTCTAGCTTCTGGTTCCCAAAGCAGGTACTTTTATTCCATGGGAGAGACAATAGTAGCATCTGTTGGAAACAGTTTGTCTCCTTCTGTTCATTCTCAAAGATGCAGTGTTTTAAATATCCTGAGCCGTTTGCTGTTCCTTTCCTCTTAGAGAGGCAGGAGGCCAAACCGACCTAGGACAGGGAGTTTGGGGGGACACGTGATGGAAATGCTTGAGTCTGAGACAAAGCTGCCCTCACTCCCAGAGTTCACTTTTTACAAACACAGTGCATGCCAGCTTACCAGTGCAATTCTGTTATAGCCACTGCGTCCCACTTCAGTGCTCCTCTTTAGAGTTCTTATTTAGCTATGCGTTTTAGGACTCTTCCAGTCTCAGTCCTGCTCGATGTCACTCAGATATAAATTGAAGATGGGAAACTCTGTAAATAAAGTTTCATTTAGGCTCTTGAGAGAGGTACTAGCCAGTCAATCTGAGTATAGTCTTATCTTTCTCAAGAGAGCATCCCTGATTTCTATCTTTCCCTATCTAATTCTCTACAAGGAATCCTGCTGTAGCAATGTACACTGGTTGTCGGCTGAGAGTCATTCCTTGTATATACAGCCATTATATAGCACAACCAAAAGTAGACTCAGAACGGAGCTGTACTGTTTTGGCACAGCTTTGTAGGTTTGTTATAAGGTCTACTGTGTTGGATATAATTCCTCACAAACTTTGCACTTTAAACAGTATCCAAGGGCTGGAGAGGTGGCTCAGTGATTAAGAGTACTTGTTGCTCTTATAGAGGGCCTGGGTTTGATTCCCAGCAACCATATGGTGGCTCACAAGGTCTGTACTCCAGTCCCAGGAGATCTAATACCGTGTTCTGACCTTTGGGGGCACCAGACACATCCATGGTGCACAGATATACATGTAAGCAAAATACTCAGACACATAATTAGGGGGCTGGAGAGATGCCTCAATTGTTGAGAGCACTGACTACTCTTCTAGAGGACTCAGGTTCAATTTCCAACACCCACATGGCAGCTTACAACTGTCTGTGATTCCAGTTCCAGGGGACCCAATACCCATGGCAAAACACCAATCCACATATAAAATAAATACATTAAAAAATAATAAAGTTAATAAATTTTATTATTTTATAATAATAAATAAACATTTTAAAATATCAGGGTTTTGTTGTTGGTGTTGTTGTTGGTGTTTTTTTTTTTGTTTTTTTTTTTTTTTTTTTTTTTTTTAAGAAAGTTACTATTGCCAGGTAGTGGTGGCACACACTTTTAATTTTAGCACTTGGGAGGCAGAGGCAGGCAGATCTCTGAGTTCCCAACTGTCCAGGGCTGCACAGTAAAACTCTGCTACACAGAAAAACCCTGTCTCGAAAAAACAGACAGACAGATATTGATTGATAGATAGATTAAAAAAAAAATCTATCATTGTAAAAACTATACCTACGAATGACCAGTTGAAATAATTTAAGACATAATATTAAGCCTTTTCCTGTTCCCTTTTCTTTTTTTTTTTTTTTTAAGATTTTTTATTTATTATGTATACAGTGTTCTGCCTGCATGTGTCCTTGCAGGCCAGAAGAGGGTGCCAGATCTCATTACAGGTGGTTGTGAGCCACCATGTGGTTGCTGGGAAATGAACTCAGGACCTCTGGAAGAGCAGCCTGTGCTCTTAGCCTCTGAGCCATCTCTCCAGCCCTCCTGTTCCCATTTCCCCATATATAGTCACTGTTAACTTTCTTTGTATGCTTTCAAAACAGAAAGGAAAAACTGTGCATATTCCTATATATTGTATTCTTTGAAAAAAACTAGTCCCAGGATATGCTGCTTTACATAATTTTGTAATTATCATATTCTGTTGAGTGACTATATTCACTAGATTGATAAATCAGTTTATTAATTATTCTGTTAACGAGCATTTATATTATTGCCTGGTGCTTCCTTCATTCTTTGTTGTGATGTTGTAGAGAACATCCTTGTATATCCTGGTATGTTTTTGTAAGAGTATCTATAGGGCAACTTTGCAATTGGCTTCATCATTTCACATTTTAAAATAGACATTACCATTCTGCCTTCTCAAAGGGTGGTGTCAGATTATTACAAATCATAAAGAGAACCAAGTCTCTCCCATATTCTCCCTTACACCAGGAAGCAACTGGTGTTTGGTTTTTACCTTCTCATAAATGAAAATACCTTATGTTTATATTTTCTCTTTTCAGTGTGACTGGGTAAATTATGATTATTCACAACCCATAAACTCTAGCTAGGGGTCATAACAGCTCATAAAGTTTCTGACTTTTTTAAGTAGCATGAATCAGAAATATTAGATTCTGGGGCCAAGGATGCATAACCAATTATATAGAGAAAAAGCATTTAATTAACATCCGAGGCGTTAACTTTGTCAGAAATGGGAATAGATTTAAATATAACATAACATATGGTCCTTGCCCTTAATAGAGTGCTGACAATGTTGGAAATGTCTTGAAAGATTACAGTCATGCTATTTTCATTAGTAGATTCAATTTCTCCCCTTTAAGTCTCTTTTCAAGCCTAACAGGAACATGGTACTCATCAGAATGTTTTTTATTTGTGTAAGCGTTTGGCAGCAGTACTTAAGACAGTAAAATGACCAAATTGAACAGAAGATAGAAAAAAATGCCAATTGCTCATAGACTTTTATTTTAAATTGGCTCTTAAATAATTGAACATGATCTCAAAATTCGAAAAAATACTACTTTATTCAGAGCCTTTCACACAGAGTTAGCATTTGTTGTCTAAAAATCTGCATGATTTCCCAGGGGGTGGATTTCCCTTTATATGTTGGGAAAGAAGCAGCATGGAGGTAAACTTTCCTTCCTGGGCTTTGTGCTGTGTTTCATCAGGTCTGGCTACCTGCAGTAAAGGCTAAAGGCTTGGAGATCTCAGGCACGTTCACTCACCGCCAAGGGCACATCTATATGGAAATGAACTTCACCAACAAAGCTCTGCAGCACATGACGGACTTTGCCATCCAGTTCAACAAGAATAGGTAAGAAGTGCACGTCCTGGGTTTGCTGTTGAGCAGTCCTGTGCCCAGTACTGAGTAAGAGTGCTCCATTCTGTAGGGGCAAAAGCGCCAGCTGTAGACCCTGAATGTAAAGGAAGCTTGGCTCTGTTCAGTTGTCAGCTTCAACTCTGGAGAATAAGGGCAAAATTATGCACTCACCTAGCATGCACAGAGCCCTGGGCTAGATTTCCAGCAACACTCACTCAGACACACACACACACACACACACACACACACACACACACACACACACACACAGAAGAGAAAGAGGGAGAGAGGAGAGAGAAGCAAAATGGTTTTTGTTGTTGTCGATTGGTTTTTTTTTTTTTGAGACAAGATATCCCTGTGAAGCCCTGTCCTGGAACTCACTCTATAGTCCAGGCTGGTCTCGAACTCAGAGATCCGTCTGCCTCCTGAGTACTAGGATTAAAGGCGTGCAACACCACACCCAACCAAAATGGTTTTTAAAAATAAATTTTGCAGTCAAATTGGGGCATGATGACACATGCCTATGATCCCAATACTCAGAAGGCAGAGGCAGGAGAATTGGGAGTTTAAGATCACCCTTGGCTATACAGTAAGTTCAAAGTCAGTCTGGCCGACGTGAAACCCTGTCTCACAAAACAAAACAAAACAAAACCAAACAAAACAAAAAACCCTAATCAATAAATGGACTACTACACATGTGGTTCTCCAGAGAAGAAACACAGTGAAAAAAATGGTAATGTAAAACTATTCGATGTCCTTAGCTATTGGGGAAAAGCAAATTGAAACCATTATTGAGAGTCTATCTCATCCAGTCAGAATGGCTATCAGGAAAATGACAAATACTGGCAAAGAAAAGGACACCATTCATCGGTGCTACTGGAAGTGGAAACTATCCATCTGGAGCAACAACAACAACAAAAAGTTTGCTGTTACCCTCCGCACTGACCAGACAGGTTATTAAGCCAGTGACATAACATTAATTTTCATACTTTGCTCTACAAAGTGAATATTCCTTGTGATCCTCTTGTCCTATCCTCCCAAGTGCTAGGGTTACTCACAAAAGAGATTCTTAAATCTTTTTCTGAAAGATTATGTATGGAAAATATATATATATCTTTATGAGATGCTTATCAAATCTGTCCCTTCTGGAGAACATGGTCCACTGAATCAATAAGCAGGGCTCATATGGGCTCACAGGGACTGAAGTGGCAAGCTCAGGGCCTGCATGGGTCTGCACCAGGTCCTCCGTGTACATGTCATGGCTGTTAGCTTGATGTTTCTGTGGGACTCCTAACGGTGGGAGCGGGTGTGTCTCTGACTCTCTTGCCTGCTCTTGGGACTCTTTCTCTTGTTGGGTTGCCTTGTCCAACCTTGATATAAGGGGTTTTGCCTTGTCTTATTGTATATGATTTTGTCATGTTTGGCTGTTGTCTCTTGGAGGCCTGTTTTTTTCTGAAGGGAAATGGGGGCGGGGAGTGGATTCTGGGGGAGATGGAAAGTGTTGGAGAACTGGGAGGAGCAGAGAGAAAGGAAAATCTGGTCATGATGTATTGCATGAAAGAAGTATCTATTTTCAGTTTTTTAAAGAAAAAAAAAAAACTGTCCTTCCAGCAACATGATACACAGAAGAATCTTTCAGAATCATAGATAGCATCAGCAATAGTTCCTGCCCATGAACATTGTCTCCCTTTTCTTCTCTTTTCAGTTTTATTAATTTATTTTTATTACATTTTTTTCATTTAATTTACATACCAAACACAGTTTCCTCTCCCTCCTCTCCTCCCATTCCTTTCCCCACCTCACATCCTCACCTCCCCCTCCCTCCCCCCCCCCCCCCCCCACCACCACTCCTCATCCATTCAGAAAGGGGCAGGCCTCCCATGGGAGTCAACAAGCATGGCATATCAAGTTGAGGCAGGACAAAGCTCCTCCCCTGTTGTTCAAATCTTAGATGATCTTTTAATAAAAAACCCAGAGCCAGATATTACGGTGAAAGCTGAAAGATCAGAGAAGCAGAGCAAGCCACAGCCAACCTCACCTCGCCAACTCCTCAGCCTATCCTGTTTCCTCAAACTGAAAGCTTCTGAGTCCTCACCCAAAAGGATCTCAGCTGAACTGCTTTAGTTCCTGTTTCCTCATGCCTTATATACCTTTCTCCGCCCTGCCATCACTTCCTGGGATTAAAGGTGTGGGATTAAAGGCACGCGTGCTTCCCAGTACTGGGATTAAAGGTGTGTGCCACCACTGCCTGGCTCTGTTTCCAGTATGGCCCTGAACTCAAAGAGATCCAGCCAGATCTCTGCCTCCCGAGTGATAGGATTAAGGGTGTGTGCCACCACTGTCGCCTCTATGTCTAATCTAGTGACTGGCTCTGTCCTCTGATCTTAAGACAAGTTTATTAGGGTACACAATATATCATCACACTTGGTGGACAAGGCATCCCAAATGGAGAATAGGTTCCCCAAAGCCAGCTCATGTGCCAGGGACAGGTCTGATCCCACTGCTAAGGACCCCACAAACAGACCAAGGTACACAGCTGTCATCCACATGCAGAGGGCCTAGGTTGGTCCCATGTGGTCTTCCTAGCTGTCGGTCCAGAGTCCATGAGCTCCCACTAGCTCAGGTCACTGTCTTTCTAATCCTTGTAATGGAAATAGTAGGAAAATTTGATACACCCAGTGTTGGAGCAGGTCAGCTGAGCACACTGTTTCCTGCTATTCCTTCCATCTGATTGTCTTGAAAGTTATTTCATTGTGGTAAAGCCATGGAAACCTCCAGGTGTGTGAATCCTGCCTCTTGACTGACGTCTGGGTGTTCCTCCTCCTCCTCTTTCCAGTTTTGGTGTCATCCCAAGCACTCCCTTGGCCATCCATACTCCACTGATGCCAAACCAGAGCATTGATGTCTCTCTGCCTCTCAACACCTTGGGCCCAGTCATGAAGATGGAACCTCTGAACAACTTGCAGGTCAGAGTTTTCCTTCACTTGCAGAGTGTTTGTTAGGATCTTGCTGATTTTCCTTTGTGTGTAAAGTGATCCATCTATAGTCATTCCTTCTCCATTGCTATAACAAAATATAACCCCATATAGAGGCTTATTTAGCTTACAGTTTGGCAGATGTAAGAGCCTGGTATTAACATTTCATCAATCTGGTGAGGACACTTTGACTTCCTTTTATCGTGCACAGAATTATGGTAGATGACATGTGACACAGAGTCACAGGGGCAATAATGGAAGCAAAGGAGAAGCAGAGGCAGTAATTTTTTTTTTAAATCAAAATTTACTGTTCCAAAACCTAGATAGGCTCTCACAAGAACTATTGTAATGTCTTGAAAAGGCCGGCATTCCCGATGACTTCTCCACTTCCCACTAGGCCACCCTACCTCACGCTAAAGACCCACCCTCCCAATATGAAACCTGTAAGGAAAACCTCTTATGATAAAGTTGGTAACAAAATAGTTTGAAATGACTCTGTTGAGGGAGACTCGCTCCCTCCTATTCCCCAGGGTACTCTTGCGCAGGGAGAAATGAGGAATTTGTAGATAGAAGGATAGAGAGAGAGACAGATAGAAAACACAGGATAGCCTCGGGAGGGCCTGGGTCCAAACCCACCAGCACCTTCTGTCTCTACCAAAGGGCTTTTAAAGGAATGCAAAGGGGTGGAACAAAAGACCTCCCCCAGCACAGCTAAGTGTAGACCATCCCAAATACCTGGTGACCATGCACATGGTCCAGCCATCCCCTAATGCAGCCCTGCTGTGTAAAGCAAGCTCAGATCTCACTAGGAAACCTCTGTGGGCTCCCACACTCTATGGTAAAGAGTTTTTATTTTATTTTGATAAACAAAAACCAAAACAAGCTGTGCAGTAACTTAAAGAGGTACTTACTCAATAAACATTTTAAAGTTTATTTCTTGAGAGTCTCATTTATCCTAACTTGACTGAGAATAACTTTGAACTTCTGATTCTCTGGGCTCTCCCTTCTCAAAGTGTAGGGTTATAGGCATGCAGCACCATGCCTGGTTTTCAAAGAAACTAGAGACATGACTCAGCAGTTGAGAGCACTGGCTGCATTTAGCAGAGGACCAGGTTTGGTTCCCAGCACCCACATGTAGCACACAGCTGTCTGTAATTCCAGTTCCAGGGGGCCTGACACCCTCTTCTGGCCTCTGTAGGTGCTGTACACACATGGTACACATACATGCATACAGGCAAATACTCATACACGTAAAAGTAATAAATCTTCCTTTAAAAAAGATTCCCAGGGGCTGGAGAGATGGCTCAGAGGTTAAGAACACTGATTGCTCTTCTAGAGGACCTGGGTTCAATTCCCAGCACCCACATAGCATCTAACAATTGTCTGTAACTCCAAGATCTGATACCCTCACACATACATGCAGGCAAAACACCAATGCAAATAAAATAAAAATAAATTATTGAAAAAAAAGACTCCCACCTGAAAAGAAAATATGTTGATAATGAGCTCACACTTGATCAAAAAATGAAAAGGAGGAAAGGAAGAAGATGCACTGTGGCAGACATAAGACTTAGTGGGGGATATCCTTGCCTAGAAATTGAAATGACAGAATAATTTGAATGAGACTGAAATATATTTAACATGGTGAAAGAAAAATATTAACCATCTACTTTCCAGTCCAGACAGATAGGTCAAATTGCTCGATGTTCTAGAAATACCGATGTGAAATGTGACTATGGTTGATAAAACAACGAGCTGTTGTGTTGAACTTCGAACTAAACATTCTTCAGTAGTGTAGACACCAGCACATTGCCGGTTCACCGACTACCTTGTTGCCACAGTGGCTGATTGTGGCTTTTCTTAGCACTGAGTAAGAATCTTTTCGAGTAGACAAGTGAGTCAGAATATAACTTAGCTGAGTCTAGAGGAAGAAAACTAGGGTTATTCTGTAGATAGAATTGGCTGTTACTATGAGGAAAGTAATGTGTTAAGGGCGTTTCCAGTCACAGTCTTCAAGTAACTAACCCAGATATGCATCTGCTCTCTGTCTTGGAGGCTAACCTCCCATTGGCCCATTAAGCCCCAAGCATGATGTCTAGGACAGTCGGCATGCATGCATGAATGCTTTCCTTCAGAAGTAGGAAGGATATTTGGGTCACAGAAACTAGGGCAAGTGTTCAGTTCCTAAAAGAAAACAAAGGAATGTTAGTTCACTTTTCGATTTCCATTTCTAATCTATTGAATCCCAGATAAGAACTCTCCTAAAAGAAGGTGGCTCTTCTTACATCTAAAACCCTCCACTGAAGGCACTGATACAACGTTGGGATTAATAAGTTATTTGTCACACATCTGCTGTTGTAAAAAGCAGTCTGTAAAGACTGTCTTAAAGGTTGGGCCTGTCACTTGCCTAGCAAGCCCAACCCACCCCACCCGCAGTTCCATCTCTAGTCAACTACTGATTCTTCAAGTTTTCCTCGTGGGCTCTTTTCTCTCAGGGATAGCATAATTGTGACTCTCTTATTAATTGGCACTTCTCAGTGGTAAAGATAAACAAACCCTTGAAAAGAAAAGCTTTCATCCCCTCTGCCGGGAGAAGGAAGCGAAGAAACAGCTGTAGTGAGGGAGGGACTGCAGAGTGAGCGTCTCCTGTCCTGATGTGAACAGACGGGTTAAGACTTACCTGAAGACGAGACCAAATAGCCCAAACTTACTATAATACTTCAGAAAAGTTTTTCATTAAAATGCTCATTAAACTACCATTTGTTAAAGTGTGAAATAGTATATGTTAAAAAAGATACCATTTCAGCTGGGCGGTGGTGGCGCACGCCTTTAATCCCAGCAATCAGGAGGCAGAGGCAGGTGGATCTCTGTGAGTTCGAGGCCAGCCTGGGCTAGAGCGAGATCCAGGAAAGGTGCAAAGCTACACAGAGAAATCCTGTCTCAAAAAAAAAAAAAAAAAGATACCATTTCTGTTCATGTATTTGTGCATGGTGGGTGCATGTGTACATATATGTGTACATGTGGATAGGGAAGCCAGTGGCTGTCATCCACCTTATGTCTTGAGACAGGATTTCACCTGGAGCTTGTTGATTTATCTGGTCTGGTTGTTTGATGAGCTCCAGGTATCTGCCTTCTTTGCTTTGAAGTTCTCGAGTTACAGATAACTGACCACCACACCTGGCTTTCCTGTGTGGCTGCTAAGGCTCAAATTCAGAGGCTCAGCCTTAGACACCAGGAACTTTACCTACTGAGCCTTTTCCCAGGACTGCTATTCCTCTGTGTGTGTAAACCAGAGGTCAACCCCTGGTGTCCTTTTCCTCAGGAGAGCACCTTGTTTTAGGACACAGTCTCTCATGGGCCCAGAGCTCACCAAGCAGGCTAAGCTAGGTGACCAGCGAGCCCCAGGGATCTCCTGTCTTTGCCTGATTTCCCACTGCTGGTATTAAAAGCATTTCACACTGTGCATGTTTTTGCTTTAATAGTTTCTGGTCATCAAAACCAGGTCTTCATGCTTGCAAAGTAAAACACTTTACTGACTGAACTGTCTCCCCAGCCCCAATTACTTCTTAAAGTAGAAAGTTGATTATTATGCCACAGATACAGAATGAAATCTCTACTATAGAGATTTGAACCTCGAATGATGTTACTGCCATTCCAGTGTTGACTAGAAAAACTTTTGTGAGGTTGACGGTATAGTTCAGTGGCAGAGTTCTTGCCTACTGTGTGTAAAACTCTAGGTTTGATCCACAGCCAGCGTGCGCGCGCACACAGCCTTTAAATCCAGCTTATAAATAGCATACAGAGTAAAATTTGCCCCACTGTGGAACTCTTTTGAGTTTATTTATATCAGATAATTATATCCTAAAAAAGAAAAGATTATTCCCTCTATTTAAATAAAACAAAAACCTTAACAAGTGTCTAAATAATTTTTCTCTAAATGTGTTTAATTGACTCCAGTGTCATTGTTTTTCATTCCACATGTGTTAGTTGCTTAGAAACATCTTCCCAATATACTCACTGGCAAGTAACTGCTTCTTCGAGTCAGAGCCTGCACAGAGACAATGGAGTTATGACATGCCTTAGAGTTCCCATGGCTACATGGCTTCCTTTTTCACTGTGCTGTAGATGATTATACTGATGGCGTCATTCTTTCGTGATCCTTTTTAGCAGGGTTATATAAGTGTAGCTTAAAGAATCATCTGGGGTTGGACATGGTGTCTACAATCTCAGCACCAATAAGGCTTAGGCAAGAAGATTACAGCAAGTATAAGGCTAGCCTGGGCTACATAGTGAGCGTCAGAATAGCTAAATAAATAAACTAGGCCAAAGTGTGAGAATCTGTCTCTAAAACACAAACACTGATTCTGCAGGAAAAACTCAGACCCCAGCCTTCTCTCCCCAGTGTGGGCCCCAGTGCTCCTCCACAGAAGCAACCTCTTTTACCTCTTCCAGATGATCCTTATGCTATTTGCCTCTATAAATAAAACGTTCTCTACTGGAACTTCTGGGTTTTAGGAGTTCTCTTCCTTGCTGTCTACATGTTTATTTTCCACATTTCATTTTCCTGAACACCTTGAAATTTGCTTAAGTCAGTGATTACTATTATTATAAGGCATAGTCATATTGAGCCATATAGTAAGGTGTGGTTTTTTTTCCCCATAAAACTTTTTATAAATCAATAACTTAATGTCTTCTTTTATGTTCTTAAGCACAGTTCAGTCCAAAGTGTTATGGAGTTCACATTCTCCACGTAGTCTGGCCAGCTCACCTTTCTGGACTCTCTTGTGAAGTCTTAGAGCCTGTCCCCCCCCCCCCCCCCCCCCCCCCCCCCATGCTGAGCTGTCAGCCTGACACGCTGCGTCACCTCCCTCATCTCCCACGTATGCTCCCCTCCCAGTTTCCTTTCGTTTCCTTGGTTTATTCTTTCATTTTGATAAAAGAGATCTTCTGAGACTACCAAAATACATTTTCGGATATGCCATCTTTTCTTT